ATTTAACAAAGTTTGCAAGTTTTAAAAAAACTTGCAAACTTTGTTAAATTTTGCAAGTAAACTTTTGTCTGTAAAACAAAAATTTTTTGTTTCGTACATAGACTTAAATGTTCTCAAAACGACTAAAAAACCTGGCCAGTTTTTCGCAACTAAATATAATTTCCGTGGTCAGTATTCGAGAGCAATCGCTCCCGCTTCCCGACCAAGCCTGAATCTAATGTTATTTATAATGATAAAATAACATTAGATTTAAAAAATCTTTGAATTATAAATAATTTTAGGGGTTGCTCAAGACTCTTCAGCTGGTCCAATCTTTACAACGGGCTTAGCAATTATGCAATCAAACTGAAAGACTGGTGGCTGATTTTTAAGCGGAAATTTGGAAGAGAATCACCTTATTAACACCTTGCAGTTATTAAAAATATATATATTGAATTCACTTTGCCTATAAAGTGTTGTTTTACTTAATGCTCGCCTAACTATGAAATAAAAGAATGTTAATTGTTTACCAAAAGACAAAGATGAGCGTTTATGATGGATAACTGCAATTCCAAGTGATAATATTCCTGAATCAAAATATACTGTGGTAAACTCTAGACATCGATCTGAAAATGTTAATTTCATAATTATTATTAAGAAGAAACGACCAAATGTACCTCCAACAATATTTCATAACATTTTAATCAAATTCCAACAGCACCAGCAAAACCACATATAACACACACAACATGAACAAGTTTATCAGTAAGAAATATTCAAGAGGATGAAAATAACAGATTTAATGATCCTGATAACTTAGAATTCATTGACATTATAATGAAGGTTGAAATTGAACAACTACCAGTTCTAAGTTAACAACTACCTAAGCTGTTAATTTAGATGGAAATGTCATCATTACCACAAGCGTAATGAGGACAATCAAAAGATTTTATTTATGAATACAATCAAAAGGTTTTATTCAAGAATCTGAAGTGCCACGATGAGGAACATTTTCTAAACTTTTATTTTTTAATATATTTATTTTTTTATTTTTATTTTTTTTTAACATCTTAACTTCCAACAAGGCTGCAAGCAACCACTAATTAGTGTTGGAAGTTACTGGAAGAGAAAAGATGAAGATTGTAGAGCAAGATAACGATTGACAGACCACTTAAAAGATTGCAAATTATATGAATCAGGAAAGCAAGATGAAGGAAGCGAATTCCAAAGAACTGATGTTTGAAGAAAAAAACTAGACAAATAAGAGTTTTTGGAGCACTTAGGAACAGAAAAAGGATGAGACTTAATTGAATGACGAGTAACACGAGAATGAATTTTAGTAGATGGCACAAGAGACGCTAGCTCTTTAGAGCAGTGCCCATTATAGTATTTGTAGAAAAGAGAAAGAGAAGCAACATTACAACGATGTGACAGAGGTTGAAGGTTGGCTGCAAGAGCAGGTCCAACTATGTTTACAATGCGTTTTTGCACCTTGTCTAAAAAAGAAAGGGCATCATTAGAAGATCCGCCCCAGATATGGCAACAGTATTCCATACAAGGTCAGATTTGAGATATATAGAGAATAATAATAGAATCCAGAGTAAGAAAGTGTCGAGCTCGATAAAAAGATGCAACTTTAGCAGATGCTAATTTTGCAACGGGTTTGATATAAGGTTTCCAAGAAAGATCAGAAGTGAGAGTTAATCCTAGAAGATGAAGGGCAGATAACTCATCAAGTACATTACCATTCATAAATATAGGAAGGTCTAAATTATTGCGATAACGATTGGCTAAAAAAAATTGAGTTTTATCTGAATTAAAGTTCACCAGCCACTGTGAGCCCCATGCTGTAGCAGAAGTGAGATCCTTTTCAAGCTCAAATGCCCCCTGCAAGCAATCAGAGGGAGTTAAATCAGAAGCAATCAGAAATAATGGTAGTATCATCAGCGAACAATGCCACCTTAGATGTGAGAATATCTGGAAGACCGTTAATGTAAATTAAAAAGAGTATAGGGCCAAGGATTGAACCTTGAGGAGCCCCTGAGGTTACAGAATAAGAAGAAGAGTGCTGTCCATCAAGTACAACTTTTATACTACGATTGGAAAGAAAGGATTCCATAATCTTAAAGATGTTTCCAGATACACTGTAAGAAGAAAGCTTATGGAGAAGACCAGCATGCCAAACTTTATCAAATGCTTTAGAAATGTCAAGAGCAATGGCCTCAACCTCTCCACTTTTATCTAATGCACAATAAAACCTATAGGTTATTACTGTTAGCAAATCAGCCGTAGAACAAGAAGATCGAAATCCATATTGATGATCAGAAAGTAGGTTATGAGATTCAAGATGAGAGATTAAGTGTTTGTTAATTAAAGATTCAAAAACCTTGCTTATGATAGGAAGAAGACTAATGGGACGGTAGTTAGACGAATCGGATCGCTCTCCAGAATTTTTAAAAATAGGGATAACAGATGCTGCTTTCCAGCAGGCTGGAAAACAAGACTCTGATAAGCACTTGTTAAATAGTTTTGAAAGGATAGACGACAGCTACGGAGAACACTTCTGCAAGACTATAACAGGTATGTTGTCCGGGCCGCAAGCTGTAGAAGAGTCTAAGCTGAAAATCACTTTAGATACAGAAGCTGGAGTGATATGGATTTCAAGCAATGGATCAACCTGTTTGATGGCTATATCAGGTAGAACGCAATTAGTGGAGTCAAGAGATGATATTGATGAAAAGTTCTTAGCAAATATTATGATATTGATTAAAAGTTCTTTGCATATATTAAAAAATAAATGTGTTACTTTAAGACATGATAAACATTGTTTTTTATGTCATTAAGTAAAATGAAATAAAGTCTTCATTTCATGAAAATCTATATCAAAATAATAATATTAATATTAATAGCAATCATTGTTATAAAGTATTACTACTATTTTATTTTCATGAATTTTAAAGACTTTTTATTTCCATCTACTTTATGTTATAACAATGTAACTAGTTTTATATTCATAATAATTTTAGATTTCTACTTCAAATTAAAAGTGATTCAACATATACAACACATACATCATATAGGTTCACAGTGTTTTATTTCAACTCTTTCACAGAACCAAATAAAATTAATAGACAAATTTTCTATTTCATCTGAAGCAGCTCATTTTTTAAACAATATTGAAATGACTAAAGAAAAAAAATTTAACTAGAAGAATTTTTTGCAATGAGAAGTACCACTGTTGAAGAGCCTTTACACTCACCAGATTTTATTTTTCAAGTCTTTGAGTATATGGCTGTATCTCAAGCAAAATTGACCTCAAGAGCAAATAAACTTGATACTGTATCTTTAATTTCCAAAATATTTCACAGTTTGGAAGACAGACAGGGTTCATGCATTATAATTGTTGGTGAAGTATACATTAAAGCAACTATCACATTTTATGTTGGAAAAGTCTATGGTCATGCTCACTAAAAGAAGCTTGCCAGAACATTCCTTGTTGTAATGATTAAATGCTTCTTTGCAGGACCGACATTTATTGTCAGTATAGTACTGATATTTAGTTGGGATTCTGACTTCCAATACAGTGTCGTTGCTAATGTAATTGAATCTATTGAACAATCCAATGGAAAAGTTATTTCCTTAATTTGCAATAAAAATCAAGTAAATAGATATTTTTTTAAACTCTTTTTTCATTCATAACAAACCTTGAAGAACTAAAACAATTTTGTTATTTATTACTTTTTATTATAATGCCTGCTTATGGAAGATACTTTAAAATTGTCTTACCAAAAAGACTAAAGAGATTCAAATTGGTGAAGCTGAGGAGTTGGAAACTGATTGGAAAAATCTTGAGATTGTTTGAATTGTTAAATTATCTTGTCTAAATGAGATATCTCCAAAGCCTGTAGAAAGGCAAAATGTGAAACTAGTAATGCATGTTTTTGTGAAGAAACCCTGACAGCTTTGAAAACAAACCCAGTTATAAATCAAGAGCAAGTTAAAGGTACTGTTGCTTTTATACAAATTTTTATTGATGCATGGAAAATTATAAATTTACGAAGAATGTCTGATAATGTAAGATTGCAAGATCAATTTTACTTCTACTGCATCGAACTCACCCATTACATTTCTTACTGCTATAAATGTTGCTTTTTTCTTTCTGCTGAAAACTGTTGTCCTCATATAATCTACTGGATTCAGAAAGGTATGGAAGTTTTTATTCATTCTTGTTGATTTCAAGTCAATCCTTGCTGTAGCCCATAGTCACTGTACTCTATGGTTTTCTCCTTCTTTTTTCAGCTTCTATTTTAGACAAAACACCAATACAAAAAAGTGTCTTTCATTATATTATATAGTATTATATGCTATAATAAAACTCTAAATATTTTTGTTTTGAAAATAATAAGTTGTTAACTTAAGGTATAGATTCAACCAAGTAAATAAATGATGAATTGTTAACAGAGGGTATAGATTCAACCGACTTAATAAATGATAAATTGTTAACAATAGAGTATAGATTCAACTCGAATAAATGTTATTTGTTAACAGAGAGTAGAGATTTAACTAAATCCATAAACACTTTCTGTAGTCTAAATAATAACCATCAAATATTATCTCATTCTGTTAAAATTATTCAAATAATCTTAAAGTATGATACTGTAATTGAATAAATTTCTATAAAGATCCAAGTAAAAAAATATCAATTTTCTACAAGAATCATTTGTCTATTTATAATTTTAATAATAAATAGACAAAACCAATAAAAAAATTTGTAACACAATGTATCAAGTAATATTAGAATGTATAACATATTAGATTACTATAAAATATTAGTACAATAAAATAATAAATAATATACCAACTTTAAATTAATATTAAAAAAAATTAAATTTAACACTTTTTTTATTTAATTTTTTGTAAAATCTATTGATACCTTTGTTTGTTAAATTTGTTGTCAAGGAAACATTTATTTAAACTAATTTAAAATCATCTTTAACAAACCATAAATTTAAATAACTTACATGAAATATATTTGCAATGTTTGATGCATTTTGTTTCATTTTATTTTGTGTGGAAATTACCAATTGACGTTGCAGCTCTTTCTCTTGTCTGATTTTATCTTCATTGTATTCCTTTATAAGACGTTGTTTTTTCAATGCAAATTCTATCTGTTGTTTGTCGTCTAAGTTTGAAGTTTGAGCCTCATTTAACTAAATAAAAATTGATATCAATTTTTTTTTCAGGAGTTTTAGCATTTTAACACTAATTCCTTTTGAGCGATATTAGAACAACAAGTAATAAGCAATATATAAAGATATTATATTATGATAATGGTAAATAGTGTGATTCTATTTTTTAGTTTTTCATGCAAACCTTTTCTAAAACATGAATAATTCTAAAAGCAACTAAATAAAAAATAATTAAAAATTTGAAAATTTTAGGTAAAAAAAAATTACTTTATGGAAATAAGACAAAATAATAATGCAAAACTTTGGATAGTTTGTATGATATTTTTTAATTAGCTAAAGTTAATAGTGAATATAAAACTAGCTTAACTAAAGTTAATAGTGAATATAAAACTAGCTTAACTAAAGTTAATAGTGAATATAAAACTAGCTTAACTAAAGTTAATAGTGAATATAAAACTAGCTTAACTAAAGTTAATAGTGAATATAAAACTAGCTTAACTATTATTGGTGGAGTAGAAATAAAGAAATTCAACTTTATATTTTAGTTATAATTATATTTACCTAAATATGTCCCACATAAGTGCTAAGGAAGCATTAAAGAGGAAAGCAAACAACTTAATAACATTGTGTCCAAAGAAGTCTCGGGAACTGCTTGCTTCAGAAGCACCTTATGGATTACGGATAAAATCCTTGGAAAATTCAAGACGATTCCAGAAGTCCGGCACATTCTTGGCTACTATCACCATCTAGTTGAAACACACCCCGCACCACCATCAAGAGCTGTTATACAAATAGTAGCAAAAGAGTTGGAACAGCTCTGGAATGTGAAATTTAGCATGCCATCAGTATCCAGAGCTGACATCACAAAAAAAATGAATGAAGTTGTGAATGCTTATAAAATATGTTTGAAGAGAAAATCGAATATGGATTTTTTTATGCCGATTGATATCCTTAATAAAAAAATAAAGTTGAAGAGAGAAGATCAGATTTTCTACAATCATCAAATGGATAATTGGAAGAGCTGTGTATTAACCAGCGAAACAGTTGTTGAGCATCCTGCTAACTGACAGTTGATACCAAAAAACCTGGATCTTGATTATGTAGAGCAACTGTATAGAAAATCAAGCTCTGAAAATGATGATAAGGCTGATAATTTTCAGCTTTTGTTTGAACCACCCAAACGGAAGTTTAAATTAAAAATGAGTAATAATACTTTTGGCAATTAAAAATTATTTTCAATATCAATGATTTGTATATGTGATGAATGCGTTGATCCATTTTATTGTTTATTTTTCCAGGTTATGTATTATCATAACCTGGAAAAATATTATCAAGTTCTCACTCAGCAAGGTGGAACAGCAGAGCAATATATGTATTGTTAGGCTACTTTCTAATTCCTGAAGAACGACCATTATTGAAAGAAATAGCAAAGTTTATTAGCTGTTCTTGGTCACTTGCATGGTTTAATATGAGAGAGGAACCCAACTGGGAAAACTTAAAAGAAACTACATCAAGCTGCATTAAAGCCCAAAAAGCTCTGACAAGACATATTCTTGGTGTTAAAATCTCATTCAAGAATGTGCATAGAACAAATAAGGTAGCTGAGAGAGGACTCCGAGCTATGGACATCTGATGTTGCCGGGTTACATCTGATGTTGCCGGGTTACATCTGATGTTGTTAAGTCTGATGATGCTCTTGAGAGACTTTTTTTAACAGAAATGTTCATGCAAACGTTGAATAAAAAATAACTTTACTTTATAAACTTTGTTGTATTTCTATAGCTTATGTATAAAATAAAAAGACTAAAAAAAAGCGAATAATTTTGTATTTTACTAGGTCGAAAAAAAAAGTTTTTTTTTTTTAATGGAAAATAAAAAAAAAAAAAGTTTTTTTATTTCCATAAAAAAACTTTTTTTTTTGACCTAGTAAAATTTTCAAATTTTTAATTACTTTTTATTTAGTTGCTCTTATAATACAATTATTCATGTTTTAGAAAAGGTTTGCATGACAAACTAAAAAATAGAATCACACTAATGTAAATAAAGATGACATTTTTATATCTTTATTTAAGATAGCAAAGTTTAACCTCATATACATAGAAACAAGCTGGGGCTATACTAGGAAAAATTTTTTGGCTGTGTTACAAAGCCCCCCCCCCCCCTTAGAAATTTGCAGAAAATCAGCATTCTTTTGCGAAAAAAACAATCAAAAACGAAAAAAAAAAAAAAGGCGTCACTCAAATTTTAATTTGAGTGGCGCCTAAAGTATCGGAAATGATCTTTTAATTTATTTCTATCCAAAGTATAAAACTTAAATCAACATATTAAATCCTATTGAATTAATTACAAAACAGCTGTTAGAAAATGCACAATTTACCGCAAGCCTCTCTAGATTTAAATAGTTTTGTGTGTTTTGTAGAAAATATTGGCTTGGTTTTATAAATTGAAATTTTTTTTTTTTAAATATTTATATTGTAACATAAAAAATTCCCTTCCCCCTTTTATTAACCCCCCCCTCCTCCATTTATTAGATCTGGACTGAAATCCCCCCCCCTATTTATTCCCACCCCCTATTGTATTAAGGACTCAAGAGTACAAGTTACATATCTACATCAAATATGTATGGTTTTTTCAATCTACATATATGGGTTTCATATCAACATATATTGGTTTAATATCTACATACACTACACTAACCATAATGATTTAAATAACATAAACTTTTTTAAAAAATGCTTAAATTATTATTAACTATTATATTAAAATATAATAGTTTTTTAATTTTTTTTTTTTTTTTTTGCACTATTAGTTTATTAAAAAATACTTAATTAAAAAGGTACTTTGATTAAAATGTTTTGATAAAAATAATAAAAATGCTAAATTGAGCAAAACTACATAAAAAATACTTAATTAAAAAGGTATTATCAATGACTGTAAATGTGGAACAACTTGTCAAAGTTTTAAATCTATGTTTTCAAGAGAAGATTATTTGCCCAAAGAAAAGCTGTTGAAGATATCATAAAGCAGTGCGTATTATTGACTGTGAAAAATGGTACATGCAGTGTTAAGGTGTGGGGTTTTTTTAGTTGAAACACAACAGGTGACATTATAAAAAAAGGAGGAATGATAACATAATTAGTTTATTCAGACATATAACCACTATTAAGTTATTAGAAAAAAAAGAATAGAGATATAGAGCAAAAAACAGTTGAGAGATGACTTGAAAAGTTGAAGGTTGTATGAGTCAGGAAAATATGAAGAAGGGAGATAATTTCAAAGAGTTAAAGTGTGGGGAAAAAAACTAGATGAATAAAGGTTTTTTGCTAGATGGATAAGGTTTTTTGCTAGATGAATAGGTTTATTGCCAGCAGGGTCTGTGGCGTTAGAGCCAACCTACTCAGTGTGATGAGCATTTAAGTCACCAATAATAACAATATTGGCATAAAGAAAGAGAGCATGGTCAATTTGATCAGAAATTGCACCTAAAAGAGTGTAGTCTTGGGAAGAAGGAGAACGATAAAGAACAAAGAGAAAGGTGATAGAGTAAAGACAGGCTTGGACAGGAATCGAGCGCTATTGCTAACCACGCAAATGACTTTACTTTTTGACAACTTGACCACAATTGTTTATATATTTTGATTATTTAAAAATTTCAGAAATGCTCTGAATGTAGAAACGCTAAGCTAAACTTAAACTAGGAAAAAAGTTTAAAAAAAAAGTAATGAAAAAAAAATCCTAACAAAAAAAGAAACAAAAAACAAATTCGTAACGAAAAAGAAATCATAAAAGCCTTAAAATAAAAATAAAAACTTAAACTTGAAGCGAAACTTTTTGTTATGTTTTTAATTATGTATGAAATAAACGTTATTAAAGCTTATCTTTGTAAATGTTTAAAGTTATGCAAAACGTTTTTAAGCTAACAAGTATTATTAAACATTAAGTATTAAGTAAACAAATATTATTAAACTTCTACAAGTATTATTAAACTACTATTAAACATTAAGTATTAAGTAACAAGTATTATTAAACTACTATTAAACATTAAGTATTAAGTAACAAGTATTATTAAACATTAAGTATTAAGTAATTAAGTATTAACAAGTTATTAAGTAACAAATTACAACTAATGATTGTTTAATAAATGAACAAATTTGATTAAATTTATTAAAAAGTGTTGTATATAATATTTTTAAATTGTATAAACATTTATTTTTTTTAAAAAGTTGCAAAAAAATAATTGTTTAAAAAAATAATGTAGTCTTTTTAAAATAGTAGTTTTTAATAATTTCATGCTCTAATTAGTAAGTCTAATTAAAAAAAAGGTTTTCAACTTTTTTATTCATAAAAATAGAAAAAAATAATAAATAAATAAAATGTGCCTGTGATTTTAATAAAATAAACTGCCAACAAGCATTTTAATTTAATTTCAATTTGAGCTCTAAAACTTTATTAATAAGTGCTTTGCGTAACGAATTTAAAAATTATTATAAAAAAATTTAAAGCCATTCATTCCTATCAAAATTTAAAAAAAAAACTTTTTTTCAAAAATAAAATATTTAAAACATAAAAAGTCGTCAGTTTAATTATAAAAATTATTCGTAAGAACATTACAAAATGCTTTAAAACTTTTTCATTAATCAACAAAATACATGCTTATATAAATAAATAAAGTTATTTTATACTCTTGTATAATTCACATAAAATGTGTAAAAGCTAGTAGTCACAAAAGCTTTTGAGAAGGCCTTCTTGAAGACAGTAGCTGGATGCAGTTAACATCTGCCCAAGATGAGTATTTTTATTGAGACACTATCTCTAAATATAGATAATATAGTATAGAAAGGCCTTCCTAGAAAATAGTATAGAAAGGCCTCCCCAATCATCAGACCTCTCTCCTATATGACTTTTATGATATAAATTAATAGTAATATCAAAAAGGAGTGGCTAGTTATGCAAAAAATGTAAAAAAACTTAATAGTGAGTGGCATAACATTGACAAACTGGATTACTGTTGCTATGTAGAA